CCCGTACAGAACCCGTTAAATTTCCTTCGCTGTAGGGTTTTCAGAAACCTTTACATAATGGGATGCCTATTTCGACAGCCCATGGCTTGTGCATTCTGTTAACGTCTTGTATATCAAATTATTATTTGCTGTTTTCTACACAAAATCACAAACATAAATTTATAATTCACAACAAATGGTCAGAATTTTTTATACATATTTTAAGGGCCATAGTAATTAAACCAATCTTAAAAACGGATTTTTATCGACTCATCAGTCTGTCAATCAATCAACACATCCTCAAATCAGTCGTTAGCTATCCACTGATGAATATAGGCCTTCTCTATTGGGGAGTTTACCAGTAATTTCCACGCTGGGCAGGCGAGTTAGCAATCGCAGTTAAGCTTTAGCTATGTTTTAAGAGGAATGCTGCTGCCCATCCCATCATAGTCGCCTACACTCACGGGAAAGGAAGGAAGGGGCGGTATTTCTATGTCAGGTCCACACAGCAAAATTTGACAATTAGGATGCAAAACTTATACACCCAGAAGTAACTCCAGAGGTAAATAAAAATTATCAATGAAATTGTCATCCACAGCCGATTTCATAGTAATTCAAATCGTAATCACAATTAAACAAAATTTATGAAATCTATTGCGACAACGAGCATAAAAACAAAACATATATAAAATATGGGATCCTTTTAACTACACCAAGTGAGCTTGTTAATTCGGCGAAAGTACATTGTGAAAGCATTCACCCCAGTACTTGTCAGTTAAAATAAACATCTCCGCTACCCTTTAGGAGCATTAAAGCATGAGTGGTGAAAAATGTCAACAAACTGTAATGTGAAACGAGACGACATACCTAAAATGTTATTATTACATATTGTTATGAAATATTCGAGCGGTGAATTTATAATCGGATATTTTACAGATATTCATCAAACATAAGATGGTACCCGATGCCATAACCTTTTACATGTTTCCGACACATTTTAAAGACAAATATGATACAATACGCTGTAGCTAATAGGGAGAATAAATGGAAAGGAACTAGAAGTTTCAAAATTAATACGATTTTATGAATAAAAATTAATTTCTATAAATTTTATTTATAAAGATTGTCTTAATTGGTTCTAGATCAGATAAAGGAATGACTGTTTTTATTCTTAGTACCTACCTTTTAAAAAAATAGAATTTCTGAAAATTTATGGATTTATCAATATAGATTTTGCCGTTAATTTGTGTACCATGACGGCCCAATACAAAATTATAAGCAACATCCTAACTTAATAACAATATGACCCTTTGCATCATAAAAAACTGCAATTAATTTGCTACGATAAATTAAAAATACTAAAATAATATAATAAACATAATAAAATCGACAATATCTATTCACTGAGTGAAGTATTACCGTTCGTATCATATAATATGTCTTAGAGATGATCAAATAATATTCCAACAATATTGTTCAGACCTGTGTAAATATTCACGCACTCACTGTGCACGCATTCAGAAGCTGTAATGAAAACCTTAAGAGCGACGGCATCACGTCGCCTAAACTGTCATTCAGAAAGATTTACAGCCATTATTTCCACATCATCATTAACGTACCACTGCTGGCCGCAGGTCTCTTCTATTAAAGATAGACAGATACTTTTTATTGTTCCCTCCAAAAAACAAATTAATAAACTTAGCAAAAACATAAAATATGGAAGATATAAGACTAATTAGTATTATTAGTAGATACTTGAAACACCACAGTGCGGTATATAAATTTTATATCAAGCTTTCTATCATTTGCATGTTTCTTCCTTTGGTCATTTCTGATGCTATCCTAGGGAAAGATAGAATCATGTCACATTGAGAACTAACTCTGTCACTCCTATTTATAGTTTAAAATCATAATTGATACCTATCCTAAACAAAATATAAACAAAAAAAATTATCCTGGTGGGACAATATTAACAAGACGAACATTTAATATTCATACCTATTTTGAATAAAGGATTTTTTGCTACAAACACTTTTAGTACAAACTTAAAGTTAAGCTAAATTAAAATAAAAGTAAAAGACAACTTATTTCATTAAGAAGTGATCTCTCTGGGACGTCGACGACCTAGTATGTAACATAGTCCATCTCGTTACGATCTATGTTAGCTCGTTCAATTACTTGTAATAGTTTGTGATATTACTTTTATTTTGGTATCTAATACTAACATTTAATTTTTTATACTTCAAATTCCTATACTAATATTTGTTACATATGTATTTAAGAAGGATAAGCAAGCTGGAGTGGCAATGGGTTGGTTACATAGCTCCAAGAACCAATAGGTTCTTGAGTGGCGACCGCTCACAGGTAAATGCAATGTAGGACGATCGTGTCACTAAATGGAGTGACGATCTCAAATGCATTGCAAGGAGTCAGTAAATGCAGATGACTTAGGACCGTTCCTTAGGGCAGTCTATAGGGGAGGTCTATGTTTAACAGTAGACGGATAACGGTTAAGATGATAATTTATGTATCACGGTACGTGGTTATGACTCTACTAGTTCATGTAATTATTAAAGTCGAAAAAGGCGATTTAGACACTTATACTTTACTTTTACATTACTAACCGTTAAATTTATGATATAACATCATTGTTATTGTTGTACAAATATTATAATTATTGCATATTAAATCATTAAATAATTAACGTAGGAAATTTGATATTGGATTGTTAGCGACCGGGAACCGTTACATATGGCAATCTTATAAATCTGTTCATCAGTGGACAAGAAATGTTTGAAATGATGACGACAAGGATAATATTCAGAATTCCAATGCTTCAAAGGTACAGTTAAAAACGGTTGATTTTTATATTGAAGTTTTTAAATGTAACTCTAACATTTAGTTGAAACCTGGGAGAGATTACAACGCACTATGAAACATTTTAAATACGAATACCTGCTGTGACTTAGTTGTTAATGTGACTTAGTTGTGACGAATAAAATGGTCACGAATATTTAGAAAGAATAAACGTTCAATAAAATATGAAGTTATTACTATCACAAATTCTAATTGTAAATAATGTACTTCTACCTGTTGTTTTTATTACTATTTTATTTGTCTGTACTAATGTACATAAAAATAATAAAATTAAATAAATGTACACACATTAACACATTGTTTGTTATAATTAATGATATAATGATCATATCATGCTAAACTTATTATTAACTTAACTTTTAATAAGTCAAATTAATGTTAAGTAGGTACATAATATTAAAATAATTACTACTGTTGTACATTATCATTGAGTGTATTAAACAAACTTCGTAATATTAACAATTCATTCATGAAATTAATTTTAATATTAGTTTCGATCGAAAGGATTAGCAATGGAAGCAAACAGACTAGAGAACAAATACATATTATATCAGTATACTCTCTTTCCAGTGTCCAGTCAGAAGTCCGAGAGCATCGTCCATTAATAAAATTTATCTCGCGGTTCAGATCCAATTTGTTAGGATTTACGTTTTAGACTTCCAAGAGATTTTTGTCTTCATTGTGTACTTTAAGATTAATACCCGAATTTAAAACGTCCCTCAATTCTAAATAGTGGATGGATTTAGTATAACTATTGTTTAAAATAATATTCAAATATCTCTCGAATGACAGATCGTGACAGTGGTATATAGTAGTGTTATTATATCTATATAAGTACGCAGAAATGCCCGCAAACTAGGTTTGATCAAATACTTTGTACACTAACTTATTTCAAGATTATTACTAGATCCTCTGTAGAATTAATGTAATCTGGCTACTTTTAAATACAGTTGCTAGATATTGCCGTGGAGGTAAGAAGTTATGTGAGATGCTAATAAGTCCTACAAGCATACCTACTGTATTTCCAATGTAGCTACACTAATACACATAAAATTCATTAACAAGCATCACTCATACCTATCATGTGCTCATTTCTGCATATTGAACCAACTGCTCAATGGCTGCTAAGTTTAAATTACAAATTTGTTTAAATTAATGTAAATATCGATATCACTGATCACACACAATAAACTGACCTTCAAACATTCGAAACTGTATCTGTTATAATTTACATTATTATTATTATATGGTAATAATTTTACATACCTACCTATAAATAGTCTCGTATTATATTAGGTTAGGTTATGTAACACGTAATACATGTTCAGTGTTAACGCAAGCGTGTTATATTGATAGTAATAATTTTGGGAGGTCAACGACCCGAGAACATATCTATAGCATCAATCAGTATTAATCCGTAACAGTTATACGTATATGGTTAAAGGTGAATTAATTTGTTCCATTGTTTATCTGATGACGTATATATACCTACATAATAGGAGTGTGCTCATATTGTTTTTATTGCCTTCAATATTTTAAACATAATATTTATAGAATAGTTGTTAATAATATTCATAAAACGCCTTTTTAGTGTTCACTTCTATTATCGTATTCAGACATTGAAGTATGTATATCAATCAGAATTTATCGTGATCTGATAACAATTTTGATGTTTTACATTATACCTACTTAATTTCGTCATTCTAATATAAAATTGAGGAATATTTTGTCTAATAACAAAGAAACTTTTGCTTTTATTTTCCATACAACTGCAGACGAATAGATATACAGTGGTTCTCAAATGTATCGTGAGTCAGGTCAGAAGCCCAGGACCTCCTTTTACAAAAATATATGTTTAATATTTAGGCCATGCGCTTTACCACATAGATGGACCGCCCCCCCCCCCTTTGCGTGACCCTCCCGCCCTCATGGGAGGCGCGCCCCCACTTTGAAAACGCCTGCATTATTATGTCTACAATGTTATAGAACAAAATTCCAAATTATCATAAGTTTCACTACATCATATCGATGTAAACAAACACTTCCATCCTTTTGTTTATGACTGATATCACACCTCATTTCTGATATCTGCTACTGTTCTAGATATATAAACTAAAAAAAAATACTTTAATTTATTCACAGACCTGATGTGGCGAGAACGGTGGGCGCGAGTTAGGCGCTCCTGGAGGCCCCGGTGGCGGTGGATACCTTTGAGGGTATGATCCCGGGGGTCCGTATGCTCCTGGGGGTTGCTGGGGGCCACCAGGGGCTCCAGCGCCGTAAGGAGGTCCGCCATATCCTCGTGGAGGCTGTAATAATATATTAAATTTTAACTTCAAATAGGAAAATTTTACTCCTTTATAAAATTCACACTTCTCTATAAACACGGAATTTAATTATTTTTATTAATAACAAGATTCATTATTGTTAAAAATGTAACTTAAGGTTTTAGTAGATTCATTATCAGTTACTAAAATCGTGCCCATAAAAATATTATACTTCTTAATGACAGAAATAAATCACTACGTAGACGCAAGATCAATCATAATAATAAGTAGCTATCAGTTGATAACTTTAGAATACAGCAGAGACAGGTGAATATGATAATCACCTAAAAATTACAGTAGTTATAAAATATAAAATGAAGTATTGTATTGAATACACACATTTGATATAATTATGATATTATCCAGAAAAATAACATTTATATATTATATACAGTCTTTCAAAAAAAGCGTTCACACTCACTTTTTATCTTTATCCGAGCAATAAGTGCTTTATATTATTCCCAAATTCGTGTATAATATAGTATATATCATATATGTGTAAGTATATTTGTTATTCATATATATTTATTCGTTTATATATGTAATTTTCGTATGTATGTATATCAATAATTAGTAGTACCGCATTCGAGTATTCTGACACTTCCCTATGGTTGACTGGGAGAGAATGCTTTTAGCATTAAGTCCGCCATGTACACATATTTGTACTAATGAATTAGTAAATAAATATAACAGAAATGTTACTCATACCAATGACAGACAAAAAATTCTATACAACACTTCTATAATGTTGAGGTCAGTCAACCACTTCATAACAATCAAACAATCGTATACAAAATAAAAACAATTAGTATCTAACAATGGTATATGCTATACGAAAACATCGACTACAGACTATTACAACTAATTTAGAGAAAATTGTCAGAATAGATATCATCTTGCATAATTAAATTATATAAGTTTATTAATAATGATGTCCACAAAATAGATACATCGGTCCGCTGATAAGAAAGAGGAATCAATCAGTAGAAGAGAAGTGTCGTTACGATCACGCTTTAAAAAGAAATGTCGACATGCATAAATATATTTTCAATACGGATAAGACAAAGGTATCCGCCATTCTGTTTTCGTAATTACTTCTCGTTTCCTTTCAATGCTCGTTTATTCATACAAGATTTATAAAGTATAAACCGATCGTTCTACTTTACAAACTGATACATTATAATAATAGAAACCTCTTTTATCAAACATAATATAAATAATATAAAATAGCTTTATTTTGTACATAAAATTAAAACGATGTTACTGTAATATCAATTTTCAGCCAGATAACGTGTCTAAATAATTGACGTCCGAAATAATTCGCTGTGCCAACAAAGTCACCCGCTTCAGTTTTCAGTTCTCATTTTGTTATACGATGGAAATTCAATTATTCGTACGAACCCCACTACGACAGGCTGAGCGAGCGAACGACGAGAGTATTACACTTTGATCAAATACTTCGTTTCATCTAAACAGCAACCTCAATTGGGAACCTTCCGAATGTAGTTCGAGTAGATATGGGACCTGTGTTCGACAATTAGAGTTACATTTTTACGAACATTGGGGTGTTTTATGGCGGATTCAATGATTTATGGGGGCGGTGTTGCGGGGTGCGGCATACAAGGGGAGAGCTGTGAGGGTTGCGCAGGGTGCGGGCGGGCCGGGGGGCGGCAGGCTGCCATTGGCCGACTCGGCATCGATCGCGCGACGAGCTCAAAGCGGCCCGCCCGCGCCAGCCAGCCTCCACCTACGTTAATAAGTAATCATCCGACCCCGCGATACCTCAGCGAGTTTTCCGGACAGAGCTGGAGCCGCCGAGACGGGCCTCGTATCTCCAGTCGGCTGGAACAAAGAGCCACCGCATAGGGCGACATCCGTATTGATTTATGCAGTAATTGACCCGCGGGTAGGTGCGCAGCCCGCGCACCTCCTCCACCCGCCACGCACCTATTTGCTTCTGCACGCACTGATATCTATAATAACCACATGTACAAACAAATGCATATTTCTTAACAAAAGTCCCTGTTATACCCGCCAATCATTGACAAAACATAAAAAGCATCACTAAGAAACTGCACCACAAATACACGACATTTCCGACAAAATAATTCAATTCTTAAAAAGTTCATTACAAATTTGACGGGATGATGGGGTACAATTCGAGAGCCAAGTAACTGGGATATCGACCCCAATAGCTTAGACAAAACAAACAAAACCGACCCATAAGCATATTAGATAGAAGAACGAAAATCCGAAGTAGGTACCTTACATAAACCAGTGTAAATGTTTCAATTGACTGATATTGAATTTCGGATACGAAACGGACTTATGCGGTAAGAAACAACTGAGTTGAAAATTGTTTCAATTACAATATTCAATATCTATTGTACCTACTTCTATTTAGTACTAACGCGATAAATATATTTAAATAGTATAGTATAACTTACAGGGATGCAATGAAAAAATCAAATGGTTAATTGTTTTATTAAGTAAAAATTATTATATTATTTACGACTAAAACTGAATATAGATAATAAAAATTAAGTAATATTATTAATGAAATTGCCGTGTGGTCCCGGCATAGAATCGTCCACGGGAAAGAAAGGCCATCCCTTCCTTTCCCGGGATAATTTCTAGTCGTAATCGACTAAGAGAGGGCGAGGTATGGGCAGCAGTGTCCCTTTTAAAACATCTCTAAAGCCCAACTGCGGTTGCCAACCCGCCTGCCAAGCGTGGCAACTACTGGCGAAACCCCCTAAGGGGAGGCTTATGATCAGCAGTGGACAGTTAAAAGCTGATATGATGATGATTAATAAAGTTGCGTTGATACTCAAAACTCCTAAGTCCTACTCGTAGAATGCTAAAATTTGGAACGTATTTATTTGTTTATTTGCAATTCCATTAATGTTACAGGTGTCTGTTGATATAGAAATAGAATAGAAATTTATTATTTGACAAAAACACAAAGTTACAAACACAAGATACAATGGAACGCTTGGCGGACCTGTATCGTGGGCACCAGGCAAAGATTAACAATTTACAATCCGTTACAATAAAAAGTAAATAATAATTAAATATTGTTAAAATAGGTTTATTTCATAAAAGGAAACAACGCCATGCGTGTAATGTCGAGAGTAACAACTACTGATTTTATATACTTACATTAAACGACTTAAATATATGTAATATTAAGAGACGATCAAATATTCGTTTTATTCTTAACTAGATTCTACCCGCAACTTCATCCGCGAGACTGGAATAAAAAGAAGCTAATATCCTTCTTCATCCCATATAATACGTATATACCGAATTTCATAGCGATTGGTTAAGTTGTTAACGCGTTATAAAGTAACAAAAAATAAAACAAACTCACTTTCACATTTTTAGTAAGGATTTTCTTCTCTTTGCCTGGGACTATACACTTTATCATTGTGAATAAAAAATAGCATTTGCTTAGTGATGTTGTAATAGGGAAAGGGTTCCTATAGAGCCAGATTGATATTGGATACAAGAGCCATTTGAAACATTTTGATCTTGTTGAAAAAACCCTCTCAAATGAATAAACCCCTTCCTTATTCATGAAAATTAAAACCTTCGAAAAACCTGCTTTAATTATTAGACTGTTTTGAGACTTTCTTCTAAATTGGAAATTTAGTATAAAAAAGAGAGAAAAACAGTTCAAGAGCTAAATAGGCTAATAGCTAAAGAGCTTTGATATTTTTATGAATAAGAGAGTAAGATAATATAAGATGATAATTTATTTCGATTTCACCTTGTATGAATACTTAGATAATCATAAGAGAACTTAAAAATATGGTCTGGTATCCTACTTCAAAAGGAACCATGTACCTCAGACACACCTATTACGTATATGCATTCAATCGTCAACTTCGACTTTAATTCCACAGTCAAGAATAAACACAGAATTATTTTAGTTCCATCTATTTACACTTCTTGTGAAAAGAGAATATTTTGTAATTTAACCTCACGACGTCCAAATTCCGAACTTTGACCCTTTCAATATTTATTGCTAAAAATAGTATTCCGTCTTTTTTACGTGTATTTTTCACGTCTCTTTTATAGGTGCTTGATAGACAATAAATATAATCGTTATATAATTAAATAATTTAAGCGCTTCTGAATTGTAATATTTTTCATGATTCTACTACTGAAATATTGCATCGAATATTGCATTAAGAGTAATTGATAAAAAAGAGGATGAAGTCGGATGTGTTGGCTCATATTGACAAGATAGTTAGGTTAGGTTAGGCCATTATTTGTTGCTACTGAACATAGGCTTCCCCCAAAAGATGGGTTTTACCAGTTGTTGCCACACTTGACAGTCGCGATTTGGCAACCACAGTTAGACTTGATGTTTCAAGAAGTCCGTTGCTGCCTCTTCTTTGACCATTAAGTTTCCTTAGTCGCTTCTTACGATAACCACGAGAAAGGAAGGGGCGGCTCATTCTATGCCGTGACCACACGGCCACCCTATTACCTACTAACAATAAAATTACTTCCCTCAATAGTACAGTTAGATATTAGATACATAACGATTATATTTATATCATTAAGTTAGTATGCTTTTAATATTTATTAAGTTAGTAAATAACTTTCACAATTGTGTTGGGCTAATTACAAGTCGATAGACCTAGTTGCTGCTGAGACAAAAGCCCTGACCTAGTTAACACGAAGTAGTCCTAAACAATAATAAAGCATACCTTTTTAAGGTCATGTAACTTATTGTAAATATCCATTAGACTCTTATAATTTCTTGTCCATATAATTATTATTTGACACATCCAAACTAACATTAAAACATAATGTTTTGTTAATAATAGATAACCTAAAAAAATTTCGATTATTTTTTTCAGTTTTATTAAACTACAATATCAGAGAGTAACATGGGCAGTATTTTATTTAAAGAAAAAACAGTGAGAAGCTGGAGGTAGTAAGCTAGTAAGTCATCCGATTGGATCGCC